ATCTCCCTGCTTTTCACTTTTAAAAAAGACGACTTCTGAATCTGGAGAGATGGCTCAGAGGTTAAGAGCACTCACTGGCTGTTCTTCCAGAGGACCTGGGTTCAATGCCCAGCACCTACATGACAACTCACAACTGTCTGTAATTACAGTTCCAGGGGATCTGACACCTTTACACCAATACACATAAAATAAAATTAAATAAATCATTTTTTTTTTTTTTAAAAAAAGACTTCTTGTTTTAAATCATGTAACTATGTTTAGGTATGTGCACGTGAGAGCAGATACCCTGAGAACCATCAGAGCCCCTGGAACTGGAGCTAGAAGCCACCCAACATGGGTGCCAGGAACTGAACTCCGGTCCTCTGCAAGAGCAGAGTTTACTGTTTAACTACTGAGCCATGGCTCTAGCTCTAGGTCTGCTTTATTTTTGTTAAGACAGGATCTGGAACTCAGTTCCATCTCAACCTCCCCGGTAGTGGGATAACAAGTATGTATCATCAAGCCCTGCCTCTAAAAAGGGGGGTTTGAGGTTGCAAGGGCCGGCGAGGTGGCTCACCAGGTAAAAGCATTTGCATAAATCTGATGACCTCATCTGATTATGAATTGATTTTGGTCATTGTGTCTTCAGAGACCTTTTACGGTTCCCAAATATTTCAAACTGTACATTGTTCTGCAGCCTATGGGGTCTTGACCTCCAGCTGAAGAGACTATAATCTAGACAGGAAACTGAAAAGGTGAGAGGGAACAGCTGGGCTAGAGAACAAATGGAGGGGGTCGCCAGAACATAGAATAAGATTTGCAGGAATTAGGGGCTGGAGAGATGGCTCAGAGGTTACGAGCACCGACTGCTCTTCCAGAGGTCCTGAGTTCAGTTCCCAGCAACCACATGGTGGCTCACAACCATCTGTAATGAGATCTGGTGCCATACATGGAGGCAGAATGTTGTATACGTAAATAAATCTTTAAAAAAAAAAGGAGAAGAATTGCAGGAATACCTGTTTAGGATAAAAAAACAGGTCTCAGAAGATGACGAGGAGTTAACTGCAGGAGGGGCTAGAGACGTGACTCAGCACTGGGGCACACTGCTCTTTCAGAGGACCTAAGTTTGGTGCCTAGCACCACGCCCAGCAGCTCCCCTGTCCATAGTTCCAGCTCCAGAGGGTCCAATGCCCTCTTTTGGTACATGCACACACGCACACATAGACATACATACTTAAGTAGCATCTTTTTTAAAAGAGAGAAAGTTTTGTTGGGAAAGTAGGAAAAAACATCTAGAGAAAGCAGTCGCTACCCCCAGTCTCTCTTCCCACAGACTCCTGCTTCCCCAGGAATCTGGACATCCGGGAAAATGAAGGCACCCAGGCAGGTGCCAAGTTCTCACCTGGAAGCCCGACCCTGGTAGGAGAAACCTTGTCTCTTGAAATAATCGATCGCGTCCTCAGGGCAGGTCTTGAGCGTGTTCACACGCACGAACCGAGGCACCTGGTAGGCTAGAAGCCACAGCAGTGAGTGGGTAGGAAGGCAAGCCCCTCCGGAGGGCCATCACCCTCCCCTCAGCCTCCAGTCACCTTGGCCAGGCCTGGAACTCTCTTGCAGCAGGTCCTCATTTCGGCTCACACCGCGATGAACCTTGAGCCGGGCCAACTCAGCCTTGAGCCTCGCCTGGTGCCGGCCCAGCAGAGCCTTCCATCGGCCTCCACCTCCTCGGAAACCCTTCCCTAGCAATAATTCATACACTAGCACCTGGACAGAGAAAAACAGAAACACTATTAGCAACATAAAACCCTTCGGTGGGAGGACTAAGTACCTGTCCAGATAGTCATGTCAAGGGCATTTTCTTGCAAAAGATCACCCAAAAAATTAATGGCCCGGTATGGGGGCAAACACCTATAATCCCAGATGCTTAAGCAAGAATACAAGCTGAAGATCAACCTGAGTTACCAATTTAAGACTTGCCTAAGCAACTTAGCAAGAACCTGTCTCAAAAATCTTAAAAGGGCTGGGGACGTAGCTCAGTTGAACGTGCCTAGAATCTCCCAGAGAAGGGTTGAGGGTGTGACCCAGAGAGGACTGTCTAGCATCCACCACTTAAGGGACTGGGAGCAAAGCTCAGCAGCAGGGTAGAGAGCTTGCCTTGTATCCGCCAGAGAAGGAATGGGGTTACAGCTCAGCAGTAAGCCCCTGCCTAGAATCCCCCAGTGAGGGGCTGGGGTGTGGCTCAGTGGTAGAGCACCTGCCTAGA